GCGCCCACCCCGGTACCAGGGCCCGGAACAGCCTCGGGATCCTCGGTGGCACCCGGTTATATGCCGGCACCGGTGGCCATGTTGACACCGATGTCACTGCCAGCACTGGTGGCCATGTCGGCGTTGATGGTAATGCCGACACCAGTGGTCACATCGGCACTGGTGGCTGTGATGGCATCAGCACCTATAATCATGCCGGCACCAGGGACCATGCAGGTCGCAGTGGGGTTGCCTGCACTGGCGAGCACCTCTGCGCTGCTGCTTGTGGCACTGCAGGTACCTATGTTGTTATCGGCGCAGGCACAGAGTGAGACGCCACCTCGCCCGGGAGTGATGAGACCCCCTCCCCCACTTGTGCATCTTGGGAAGCCAGAATCCATGGCCAGGCACCGAACTAGGCACCACTCTCAGGCGCTGTCTACAGTCCCCTTCCCCCCTTGGTCGGCGTCAGACGATTCATCCAAATCAGAGGCAGAGTCTGTGAGGTCAGAAGCCTCCTCACAGAGGTCCTCCCATTACCGCTCTCATTCGCTGTACCAATCCTGGCACTGGGAGTACCAGCCGCAGCAAACATGGCCACTGCAGGGGCAAGCTCAATGGCCCTTCTGGCCACTATGGGCCTATCACCAGTTCCAGGGTCCACTGCCACCGTCCCAGGGGTTGGGAGGTTCTAGGTCCAGGGGCACTCCCTCAGCGACTCCCATGTCTAGGGCACCTGCCTTAGAGGACAGGGTCAGCCCTCAGAGGGATTTGCCTTGCCTAGTAACACAAGGGGAGGCATCCGAGGTTCAGAAGTAAGCAAAGCCACAGGTCCCAGTGCAAGTGTGAGGGCCATCCCAGGAGCAGCCAGCAGTGAGGGAATACTCGTCGTCGTATGATGAGGCCTTGGCCGACCCAGCTTCTCCTATGCCACCAATGGATGCCAGAGCCCACCAAGATCTACTAAGGTGCTTGGCGGCGAACCTGGGATTTTAGGCAGAGGTTGTACAATAAGATGTTAACAGGGAGTTTGGAGAGGGAGTTCTCCAGTACACAGACAATCCAGGAAGTTTTTGGAGAATATTGGGGATAACTTTTTGGTACAAGTGCTGAAGGAACTGACCTGGGGCCATGCACAGCCTTACCTGCTGCTCACAAACAGGGAGGAACTAGTAGGGGAAATAGAGGTGGGTGACAACCTGGGAAGCAGTGATCATGAGATGGTAGATTTCAGGATCCTGACCGAAAGGAGAGTAGAAAATACACTCCCTGGACTTCAGAAGAGCAGACTTTGACTCCTTCAGAGAACTGATGGGCAGGATTCCCTGGGTTGCTTACATGAAAGGGAAAGGAGTCCAGAAGAGCTGGCAGTATTTTAAAGAAGCCTTATTAAAGGCGCAGGAAGAAACCATCCCGATGTGCAGCAAGAAAAGCAAATATGGTAGGCTACCAGATTGGTTTACCAGGGACATCCATGATGAACTTAAACACAAAAAAGGAGCTTACAAGAAGTGGAAACTTGGACAGATGACTAGGGATAAGTATAAATATATTGCTTGAGAATGCAGGGGAGTTATCAGGAAGGCAAAAGCGCAATTGGAATTGCAGCTGGCAAGGGGTGTGAAGGGTAACAAGAAATGTTTCTACAGGCATGTTAGCAATAAGAGGGTGATCAGAGAGGGTGTGGGGCCCTTATTGGATGAGGGACGTAACCTAGTGACAGATGATGTGGGAAAAGCTGAAGTACTCAATGCTTTCTTTGCCTCTGTCTTCACGGACAAGGTCAGCTCCCAGACACTGCGTTGTCTAGTGCATTTATGGGAAGGAGGTGGACAGCCCTTGGTGGAGAAAGAACAAGTTAGGAACTATTTAGAAAAGCTAGACATACACAAATCCATGGGCCCAGATTTAATGCATCCGAGGGTTCTGAGGGAGTTGGCAAATGTCATTGCGGAGCCTTTGGCCATTATCTTTGAAAACTCATGGAGATCCTGGATGATTGGAAAAAGGCAAATGTAGTGCCCATCTTTAAAAAAGGGAAGAAGGACAATCCAGGGAACTACAGACCAGTCAGCCTTACCTCAGTGCCTGGAAAAATCATGGAGGGGATCCTCAAGGAATCAATTTTGAAGAACTTGGCAGAGGGGAAAGTGATGAGGAATAGTCAACATGGATTCACAAAGGGAAGTTGTGCCTGGCCAATCTGATTAGCTTCTATGATGAGGTAACTGACTCTGTGGATATGGGAAAGTCGGTGGATGTGACATACCTTGACTTTAGCAAAGCTTTTGATATGGTCTCCCACAATATTCTTGCCAGCAAGTTAAGGGAGTATATATTGGATACATGGATTGTAAGATGGATAGAAAGCTGACTAGACTGTCGGGCCCAACGCGTAGTGATCAACGGCTTGATGTCAAGTTGGCGGTCGGTTTCTAGCAGAGTGCCCCAAGGATCGGTTCTTGGACTGGTTTTGTTCAACATCTTTATTAATGACCTGGATGAGGGGATGGATTGCACCCTCAGCAAGTTTGCAGATGACACTAAGCTAGGGGGAGAGGTAGATACGTTGGAGGGCAGGGATAGGGTCCAGAGTGACCTGGACAGATTAGAGGATTGGGGCAAAAGAAATCTGATGAGGTTCAGCAAGGACAAGTTTAGAGTCCTGCACTTGGGACGGAAGAATCCCAAGCATTGTTACAGCCTGGGGACTGAATGGTTAAGTAGCAGTTCTGCAGAAAAGGACCTGGGGATTACAGTGGATGAGAAGCTGGATATGAGTCAACAGTGTGCCCATGTAGCCAAGAAGGCTAATGGCATATTAGGGTGCATTAGGAGGAGCATTGCCAGCAGATCCAGAGAAGTGATTATTCCCCTTTATTCGGCTCTGGTGAGGCCACATCTGGAATACTGTGTCCAGTTCTGGGCCCCCCCACTATAGAAAGGATGGGGACACATTGGAGAGGGTCCAGTAGAGGGCGACCAAAATTATTAGGGGACTGGAGCAGATGACCTATGAGGAGGCAGAATACCACCAAGAATCACAGCGCATTCTACTCGGTCTCAGGCCTCTTCGACAGCATACCTAGCAAGGGTCCCCATAGTGGACATCTGTAGGGAAGCCACATGATTGTCGGTGCACACATTTGCAGCACATTATGCAATCACTCAGCAAGCTAGCGCAGATGCAGCCCTGTGGGCTGCAGTGCTGTAGTCTGCATTACAGTAATTTCTGTTGTTCTCCGACCCCATCTCCATAGGGTGTTGGCTAGGGAGTCACCTAATTTGAATGCACACAAGCAATCACTCGAAGAAGAAAAAATGGTTACTTACCTGTAACTGTTGTTTTTCGAGATGAGTTGCTCATGTCCATTCGGAACTGAGGAAGGGGAGGGGCCAGCAGGGGTATTTATTCACCATTATGTTGACGCCACTCTAGGGGGCTCCCTGCTGGCCTGATGGATACCGCTGGGGGAAAAGCTCCGGAATCCATGCAAATGGCGCATGCGCACCTACTTCAAATGGACATGAGCAACACATCTCGATGAACAACAATTACAGGTAAGTAACCGTTTTTTTCCTAGTTCACATTGATGTTGATGATATATTAAAGATTGGGGCAATTGGATACGTCAGTAATGGGGACCAGATAAATACCAAAGAGAGGTGCCATCCCAGAATATCTTGACAGTGCCTGTTACTCTACTCTGTAGAAAAACTTCTACATGGGCTTCTACAAAAAGGAAGGAAACTTTTGTAGTCCAGTTTCAATGCTGGCTGCAACTTTTCTGCAGATGCCTTTTTTGCAAATTTAAGTGATACTACATTACAAGCTGGAGCTAACCTGGTCTGAAACCCTTGGGTTCTGACCAGTCCCGAATGACCGGGGAGGCCCCGTCCCTCATGGACTGTGCTGCTTTCCTTGTTCCTGGGATAGAGCTCTAGCCCCACTTCTGCCTGGCTGCAGCCCTAGCACCCTGTCACCTACCCAGCTGGGTATCCTTGGGCTAGAACTCTATAGCTGCCACTGGCTCTGCTGCTGCTGGGGCTGGAGCTCCCTGGCTGCCACTGGAGCACCAAATCAGGAGCTTCACACCTGTGACCAGAGCTCCCTGGCCCCCACCAGGGCCGGAGCTCCACAGCTGGGGCTGAAGCTCCCTGGCTGCTGCTGGGGCCAGAGCTCCACGGCCAGGGCCAGAGCTCCACGGCCACTGCCGTCCCTGCTTCTACCTGGCCACTGGGTCCAAAACTCCCCGCTGCACTGCCCTCCTAACATGGGGCCTCCTTACTGAACACTTCAGTGGATTGCCTATGAGGATGTACATCTCCCATTTCAGTCTTCTATGGGCCATATAGCTGTATCATAAGGTTAGATAAAAGGGATTGGAAACTATGCTATGACTGGGGTGTTCTCTCCTTTCCATGATAGCACTGTGAAATCCACTGATTGTTTACATTCAGAGTATATGGCTACGTCTACACTGGCCCCTTTTCCGGAAGGGGCATGTAAATTTCACTAGTCGTCGTAGGGAAATCCGCGGGGGATTTAAATATCCCCCGCGGCATTTAAATAAAAATGTCCGCCGCTTTTTTCCGGCTTTTAAAAAAGCCGGAAAAGAGCGTCTAGACTGGCCCCGATCCTCCGGAAAAAGCGCCCTTTTCCAGAGGCTCTTATTCCTACTTTGAAGTAGGAATAAGAGCCTCCGGAAAAGGGCGCTTTTTCCGGAGGATCGGGGCCAGTGTAGACGCTCTTTTCCGGCTTTTTTAAAAGCCGGAAAAAAGCGGCGGACATTTTTATTTAAATGCCGCGGGGGATATTTAAATCCCCCGCGGATTTCCCTACGACGACTGCTGAAATTTACATGCCCCTTCCGGAAGAGGGGCCAGTGTAGACGTAGCCTATGAGTTTAACTAAAAGTTGAAATTCTGTTTGAATTCATGTATGCATAACCAAAATTCTATATTTTCATCCATATCCCTTCAATAAAATCTAACAAACCACACAACAAAAAAATGTAGCACAGTAAACAAACAAATATAGTGGTAATAACAAATTGGAACAATTTTATTTTAATTTTTACATAACACATACTTTCATTGTGTTTTCAAGCATTTAATACAAGAACATTTTAATATGAGCTTTGTAAATTCTCAAGATGTGAAGCCTTTATGCTTACTGATCAATAGGAGCATGACCTCAATTTTAAATTACTGCTTAAATAAACATTACTTTTAAATCTCATTCATTGTTTTCACATATTCTCTCATCTCAATATCTGAAATTTTAACAAATTCTTTGAAAGTTCTTTGTTCTACAACAGTTGTGGGTCTTACAGACACACACTTGAAGACATTCCTTTTTTTGTCATAGTTTCCCATGCACCTATGGACATGACCTCTAATTAATCTTGGAAGGTCCCGATCCTATTTCAAGAGATAATAATAAAAAATTAAGAACATAACAATGGCCATACTGGGTCAGACCAAAGGTCCCTCTAGCCCAGTATCCTGTCTTCTGACAGTGGCTAACAATAGGTGCCCCAGAGGGAATGAATAGAACAGCTAATCACCAAGAGATCCATCCCCTGTTGCCCATTCCCAGCTTCTGACAAATAGAGACTTAGGACACCATTCCTACATATCCTGGCTAATAGCCACTGATGGACCTATGTGCCATATATTTATTTAGTTCTTTTTCAAACTCTGTTAAATCTTGGCCTTCACAATGTCCTCTGGCAAGGAGTTTCACAGGTTGATTGTGGGTTGCATGAAGAAATGCTTCCTTTTGTTGGTTTTAAAGCTACTTATTAGGTTCATTTGGTGATCTCGAGTTCTTATTTTATGGGAACAAGTAAACAACTTTTCCTTATTTATTTTCTCAACACTTCATGATTTTATAGTCCTCGATCATATTCCCCCTTAGACTACTCTTTTCTAAGATGAAAGTCCCAGTCTTATTAATCTCTCCTCACATGGGGTATGTCTACACTAGCCCCCTAGTTCGAACTACGGGGGGTAATGTAGTCATACGGAGTTGCAAATGAAGCCCGGGATTTGAATTTCCCGGGCTTCATTTGCATAAAGCCAGCCGGCGCCATTTTTAAATGCCGGCTAGGTCAGACCCCGTGCCGCGCGGCTACACGTGGCACGGACTAGCTAGTTCGGATTACGAAGCTAATCCAAACTAGCTAGTCCGTGCCGCGTGTAGCCGCACGGCAAGGGGTCCGACCTAGCCAGCATTTAAAGCTACACGTGGCACGGACTAGCTAGTTCGGATTAGGAACCTAATCCAAACTAGCTAGTCCGTGCCGCGTGTAGCCGCACGGCAAGGGGTCCGACCTAGCCAGCATTTAAAAATGGCGCCGGCCGGCTTTATGCAAATGAAGCCCGGGAAATTCAAATCCCGGGCTTCATTTGCAACTCCGTATGACTACATTACCCCCCCTAGTTCAAACTAGGGGGGTAGTGTAGACATACCCATGGAGGCCATTCCAACACCTCTAATGATTTTTGTTGATCTTTTCTGAACTTTTTCCAATGTCTTCAGTATTCAAGATGTGGGCATACCATGTATTTATATAGCGGCACTAAGAAATTCTCTATCTTATTCTCTACCCCTTTTATGATTCCTAACATTGTGTTTGCTTTGACTGCTGCTGAACATTGAGTGTATGTTTCAGAGAACTATCCACAATGACTCTCTCGAGTAGTAATAGCTAATTTTGTCCCCATAATTTTATATGTATAGTAGGGATTATGTTTTCCAATATGCATTAGTTTGCATCGATCAACATTAAAATTCATTAGCCATTTTTTGCAGTCACCTAGTATTGAAAGATCCTTTTGAAGCTCTTAACGGTCTGGTTTGGACTTGACTATCTTGAGTAGTTTAGTATCATCTGCAAATTGAATATTAATTCCTTTTTCTGACATGAACTACATTCTTCAAAATATCTGAAGAATAATAATGTTATTAGGGGATTCCTCAAAGCTAAATAATGGGTGCAGCACTACAATCAGCACTACTGTCTGTTGCAGTTCTTGACCACTCTCTGGCAGCATGTCTCAGAGGAGCTGTCAGAAAGACTTTGTTTGTCTATCTCTGTACCTCTAGAGCTTAGGAAAAATAGTTCTATTGGAAGAAGGGAGCTACAGAATATATGTTCTGAGGGAAGTTGCTCTAAGTATCAGGAAGCAACATAAAAAAATGTCTTAGTGAACAGAAAGAGGAGATACTGGGTTCTCACGGACAAAAAACCCACAATAACTTTTGTCCAGGGCTATCTTGAGGTATGCACATATTACCTTAATAAAAACAACAACAACACCAAACAAAAACCAACAACAAACTGAGGTAAAAGAAAACTTATTGCTATATATGTTTTATGAGAAGAATTGAGTTTTATCACAATTACATACATAAAACTCCTCTGGGTACAAGGAGTGTTTTCCTACATCTGCATCTAACCATAGACAGAAAGCAAATATCTGCCAGAACTGCATGGCCCTTTTATAGCCTCATTTCTGAATGGTCAGTGCTATGAAAGCACGCTCTTACAATCCAGACAAGAACTCATTTTCTATAGGGCTCCAAAAGCTCAGCAGCACTATGGAGTTGTGGTGTGTAAAGTATGAATAAAAATATGCAGTGCACACCTTGAAAAAGAAAGAACATTGCCCCATAACCTCTGCTTTATGGTTGTTTCCTTTCAAAATCCCAACCCTTTTTTCCACAACCTAAACAAACTCTGATTAAAATTAATTTGTTCTGAGGTAGCCCCCAGACACTTGTACAAACATTCCTCAACATGTTTTAGCAAAACGGGCTTGGGCTTGCCTGAACTGCAACTGTATTTACTGCCACAGACCCAATAAGCAGTTTGTTCACTTTGTATGGAAAGTGAACAGTCCAGCTTTTAGCTTTCTTTTCTACATTAGAAATTAGTTTTAACAGAATACATGTTATTAATCTCCTAACTGCACCACATATAGTGCATTCTGTAATAAATATAGAAAATACTTACAATTTCATAAAATACACATGGCAAACTCTCCTTTCCATCTTTCAAGACAAAACTTTTTGCTCCATATGCCCCAGGCGTTACTGCAGAATCAAGTGTGCCTAAACAATGTCAATAAGTAAACCAGGATGTAACCATTAGAACACTATTAAAGCCCATGATCTACAAAGATTAACTGACATTAAGGAGGCAGTTTTAATTTGTATCATATCCCAATGAGAACTCTACCAAAAAGAACTTCTTCATAGAACTGTCTCAGCGGACTCTCTAGCTCAGTGTTTCTCAACTAGTGGCACGAGGACCCTCGGGTACTGGAGAGACGTCTGGGGGATACATCAACACAACTGAAATATGAAGAAAACTGAATTTTTCTTTTACATTTTACAGTGCTTTATTATTTTTGTAATTTTTACACCCAAACATTTCACCTCCTGCCCAGCTATGATTAAGTTTTTTAAACAAATGTGTCGCAATGGTAGACAAAAAAATTGTGTGTCTGAAAACTGTAGGTACTGGGGATACTTTTTTTTAAAAAGGGGGTACTTATAATTTTTTTTTAAAAAGGGGTACTTTATAAAAATGGTTGAGAAACACTGCTCTAGCTACTATGTCCATACCCTTTTCAGACAGCCCACTTTTGATGATGTGCTATCCTCTATGCCTTTACCTTTGCACCCACCTGTATGTGGAGTTGTGGCTGCTTTGCACAGTGCTACCAAATCCCCAGTAGCATTCTCATTCCCTGGAAATTCACACTTCTTTATATCAGCCTAAGCCACTGATTAAATTAGCACAGTTAATTTTATATTGCCCTGGAACTTATGCTAGGAACTATTATTACAGAAATCAAGACAACAGTAGAAATATTATGATAGGAGAGTTTAAATATTGTAGAGTGATACATTTCATTGTGTTACGCTCATATTTTGGTCTCCTTGATGTATGGACAAATGTTTGGATATGAAATTAATTGGATGCCCGTGTCAATATTAAAAGGGATATGAGTCAAAGATTAATCAAAATCTGAGAACTGGTTCTTTAAATATTGATACTGTTGTCACACAACCGTAAAAACTACATTGTGCTTGTGGTACTTAAGTATCAGTATTCTTAATTACAGCATACATACCTAATACTTCAAATAAGAGTGCAATTTTATAAGTATACTGGCTCCAATGTTTCATACTTTCAATGACTGCACATATAATTCTCAGAGAATTGTCTTTTTCTTTGAGTTTTAATTGATATGCTGGAATTTTCTTTCAAGGGAAGATGAGAACTCAAGTTAAATAGAGATCTTTAAAGTCTTTAAAGTCAGATAGGCAGTTGGACATTGTTCTTATGTTAATTATCCAGTATTTAAAATAAACACTTAATTTAATTTATTTAGGTTAAAAAGCACCAATATATTAAGTGTTCAATATAACTTGTTTTATGATATCACAAAAGTCACAGAATTCTCTTTCTGTTCAAATAAGTACCCCTGTTCAAAACAATAGTCACGCAACCCTCCTTTCCTACTCACACCCATACAGATGGTAAAAATGAAGATTTTATTTAGGGACTAGACTTTCTAATATTTCTAAATGGCTTAAGAACCCAAGTCCCAAAATCTGCATTAGTTGGAGAGACTAAGTAGGATAAGATCCCATAGATAGGCACTAGACAACTGATATGAGTCCAGCTAAGTGAAAAACAATTTCTGGCAATGAAAGAAACAATGTAAACATGCCAGAAACACACAAATTTGCACCATCTATTTCATGCTAAGTAGCAGATAGAGACAAATTCATGATTAGCAGTTGGCTAAAATACCGTGATAAAGTGACTCCCATTTACTGGCAGAAAAGGGGTTTAAAAAGTCTTAGGAAGGCTGTGCTAGAGCAGCCAATGAGAAAAAGGCTGAAGGGAGCAGCCAATGAGGGCCAAGCCGGTCCATATGAAAAGGAAGCATCAGGGCAGCGGAAGGGAGTTTTGGGTTGAGAACCCAGGGAGGAAGGACTGTGTCTCTGGAGAGCTGAGAGAACTTCCATCGCACTGGGCAGAGCAGTCCTGTGAGCAGGAACCGGCCACGTGGGAGACAGCTCCTGGATGGCTCTGGTGTTTGTAGGCTAAGACCCTGACACAAGGGCAAAGAGGGTGCTGGAGCTATATGGGAGCCCCAGAATAATGGACTGCAGTTGGCCACTCAGGAAAGTAGCTAGACGCTAGACAGCAGTTGGCCACTGAAGGGAAGCAGCTGAACAGTGGACTGCAGATCCCTTGGAAGGGGGAAAGCATGGTGTGTTGCACAGCAGGAGAGCTGCATTGCTGAAGAGGACACTGCAATCCTTGGAGAAACATGGGTCCAAGAGAAGGAGTGATGGTACAGAGGTACCACCTAAGGAGGTAATTTCCAGGACAACCAGCAGGCAGTTCTACCCCCATTACACATATACACATAAATCTAATCAATAATGAAAAGTTATTCTGTTTTTTATTTTAACTGTACTACCATGTAAATCAGCATTGACCAAATAGATAATTATCATTAATTGTGAATGTACAGCATACCATGGGGGTACAAAGAAAAAGAAAATTGTATCTTTAAGTAGGATGGGATTTTTATTTAAAAATAAGTAATGAAAACATTGTTTAGTCTAAATTTGTGCTATTTTTGACAGAAATTGCATGTAGCAAAAGCGAAAAGAAAAATGTAAGACTGAGGGCCGAAGCAAAAGTAAGTAGAGATTTAACGAATTGAAGGAGAGACTAAACTTTTAAAATCAGTCATAATTTCTATTTCCCTGCATTAACAAGAGATATGACGTGCAAAGAGATATGAAAAAGGTTTTGTAAATACATGAGTAAATTAATAAAGAGATATATTTGTTCTCCATACAGAAAATAACGACAACTACAGAAACTAGGAGACAAAGCCAGCATTTCTTCAAGCGGGGCAACTCTTCACCATTCAACAAACAGTTGAAGAATAAGATCTATTAATTACCTCTATATTGTATCCATCACAATATGTGACTTGAAGAAGCGTAACTTTATTTCACTAGTAAAAATTATTTAAATAAATTACATTAAGAGCATGTCTTCTTTAACACAAATCCAAAATGTAACTTCCAACATTTCCACAAAATTTCCTGTGATAGTTCTAAGAAAAACCCAGGACTCTGAGCAGAAGGCTGACCAGAGTGAGTGTGTGGTCACAGGACCTAGGGATAATTGTCTTCAAATGTTTGGAAATATTAAGTAATTTTAAAGTTAAATTCGTAATTCCGAGCCCTCCCAAAGTTGAATTCATGAAGGCCTCCCAAAACTATAATTCATGGTAGATTCATCTTCACCCAAATAGTTTCCTCCCACAACAAGCATTTGTTCCCTTATTGTTTTCTTGGGAGATGTCCTGAGGCCTGTAATTTCTTCCCCTTCCTACTCCCCAAATTTTTACCTGAATTGTTTTGTCTTCTGGAACATGATCAAATTGTTTTCCATTAACTTTATTTTCTTGAATATAATGTTTAAATGTATATGCTGGACTATGATCCTGTAGACTTTTTGACATGGTGCTGGGTATAATTGGCCATTGTCCTTTGGATGAACATTTTTGTCCTGTTACAGTTGTCTCAATATGCTGTGATGTCGTATAATGGTCAGGTAGTTTGGGCTGCAGAACAGTTCTCAGGTTATTTGAGGTATTCTCAAACTTTTGAATGATTCCACTATCAGATATTAAATTGGTTCTGCTACTTGGCGGCATATGCTCATTTCTGTTCCAAACTTGAGCACTGTTATTCTTTTCTTCTTCTCTGTAGTGTAACATTATACATGGTTCAGTATCACAATACCTATCACAATACAAGCAATTAGAAACACTATCCCAGAGGACACTACTGCCAACCTGATAGCAGACCTATGTAACTTTGTTCTCACCCACAATTATTTCCAGTTTGAGAACAACTTATACCTCCAGATCAGCGGCACAGCCATGGGTACACGCATGGCCCCACAGTATGCTAACATCTTTATGGCTGACCTAGAACAACGTTTCCTCAACTCCCGTCCCCTTTCACCCCTCCTCTACCTACGGTACATCGATGACATCTTTATGATCTGGACACATGGCCAAGAAACACTGGAGATATTCCACAGAGATTTCAACAACCTACACCCCACCATCAACCTCAGCCTGGACCATTCTACACGAGAGATCCACTTCCTGGACACCACCGTACAAATCAACAATGGAAAATTAGACACCACTCTCTACAGAAAACCCACCGACTCATACAGTTACCTACATGCATCCAGCTCCCATCCAGAACACACCACACGATCCATCGTCTATAACCAAGGCCTTCGATACAACCGCATCTGCTCTAACCCCACTGACAGAGACCAGAAGCTTCAGGATCTCTACCAAGCATTTATAAATCTCAACTACCCACCCAGAGAAACAAAAAAGCAAATTGAAAGAGCCAGACGAATACCTAGAAACCATCTACTTCAAGACAGACCCAAGAAAACCAACAATAGAACACCACTTGTCATCACCTACAACCCCCAACTTAAACCTGTCCAACACATTATCAATAAACTACAGCCTATATTGGAACAGGATACCATACTCAAAGAGGCTCTGGGAGACAGACCCATAGTCTCCTATAGACAACCACCTAACCTCAAGATGATTCTTACCAACCACCACAGGACATACCACACTAATACCAACCCTGGTACCTTCCCTTGCAACAAACCCCGTTGCCAGCTTTGTCCACATATTCATTCTGCTGATACCATTATTGGACCTAACCAAGTGAGTTATAAGATCAAGAACACATATTCCTGCGCATCCAGAAATATAATCTACGCTATCATGTGCCGAAAGTGTCCGTCTGCTATGTACATTGGACAAACATCTCAGACACTTCGCCAAAGGATTAATGCCCACAAAACAGATATCAGACAAGATCACAAAGAGAAAACAGTTTCTTGCCACTTTAACCAGAAAGGACACTCTCTAAATGACTTAGCCACCTGCATTCTGCTACAAAGACCTTTTACATCTGCACTTGAAAGGGAATCCTCTGAACTGTCATTCATGTTAAAATTCGACACTTACCAACAAGGACTTAACAAGTCTTTGAACTTTCTCACCCATTACCAAGACAGTTTCCCCAATTATCACCTGTAATACCATTAACTCACAAACATCCCACTCTCCCTACCTTTAATATCAGCAATTCACAGACACTTACCTTCCTTCCTCCCCCTTCCCACCCCCCCGCATCCCCCTTCTGTTCTGCAATGTGATTTGTCCTTTTCATATTTGTTCATTTTTTTAAATTGTATCCTTTGGTATATATGGTTGTGACTACTTTCTTCCACTATTTGATCTGAGGAAGTGGGTCTGGCCCACGAAAGCTCATCATCTAATAAACCATCTTGTTAGTCTTTAAAGTGCTACATTGTCCTGCATTTTGCTTCAAATACCTATTGAAATATTGACCTGCATATTCAAAATGTATATAAATGCATTCCATAGATTATTCTGTGGCCTTTTAAAAACACACTGTAATTCTTTAAGCCCAGATAAATCATTTAAATATGTACTTAAATTTATCCTTATTCAGCATCATGATTAAGCATGTGGTTAATTTTACACATGTGCTTAACTTTCATTAACGTCAATGGATTTTAAACGTTTCAACTGATACCTTCAACAGGGATGCTTTCCAGAATCAGAGCCTTAAAATCATTTTCTCAAATTAAATGCACAGTAAAAGTAAGTTCTCCAACTGATAGAAAAGAATACCTTTGTGAACTATACCCCATGGTCACCACTCAAAAAATACCTCCTACAATAGGTTGTAAATTTGGCTTTATGATTTCAGAACTGTACACTTCATAAAGAAAGCCAATGAACTGCTTTCACCTCCAGTCTTGCCAATAGAGGTGAGTTTAGGAAGGTCTTGTCAGAAAGATATCTACGCTCCCATTGGTCTTACAGTGGTTATAGAGCGAGAACTATCCTGTGACTGGGAGTGTTTCCATGGTATTGGAGCCTCCAAAAAATCACAACCCCAAGCAATCACATACCTGGATTGTAATATGGCTTGATAGTGACTTTCCAGTTAAGATTCAACTCCCAATTTAGGATTCCCTAGGACTCCCAAGTTAGTCAATAGGTGTATGGCACCTGGGGCTAAATTAGGCCACCAAATTTTAAGAAAAATTCAGCATAGCTACATAATTCTGCTTGAAAATTCATAGCGTAATATGATCTATGACATGGAGGCAGAACAGACCCTTCCATGTGTGCAATATATATGTTTTGGAATTTTAACAATAAATTGTGGGGGTGAGGGGTTTGTACCATTTATCAATGTACATGGGTAGTGGCTTAAAGATTTTGCAATTGAAAATTATTTTTTGAAATAACATCTGAAATTAAAAGTAACAAATTGGAGAAATGGACTCTGGAATTTTTCCTAATTATTCCAGAAATTCCAACATCTTGCTATTTATCACCTTTCATTCTGAAAGCATTGCTGATTCAACAAATGGACAATATTTTGCTGAATTGGAATTGTTTACATAAAAAGACAAATTTGGTTTGAAAGTGTACAGAATACACTTTGCAGTGTACATATCTGGTAATTATTCCCAAAAAGGTTAATATATCATTCGAAAGAAATTATTAGTTAAAAAATAGATATGCAACATTGCCAACTAAGATTCTTTTGACTGTTTCAAGAATATGGAAACATATAACAAATATCAGATGTACTTTCACTTGAGAATAAGTGTTATTCTGTTTAATGATAAGAAGAAATTCCAAATTTTACCAACCTCATAATATTCAGGTTCTTTCCAGTATGTGATATATTAGGCTTTGATGCATTTTGTTGTTTCAACAGGGAAGGAGCCACAGAAGTTTCTATTTGACTTTCAAAGTAACATTTTAAATGTTAGAATGACAGAGTAGCAGCCTGATTTATAGGTTAAACACGTGAATTGTGTTTTGTGAAATATTTAAATGTATAAGGCATTAAAATAAACACAGAAGGCAAAAAAGTTTATTTTTACATACCCACTGTTTGTTGTTTTCTGTAGTTGAGCCAGCTCTGGCTTTGAAACTTCCCACCCTAATTCTTAAAAGACAAAGATGGATACAAATTGAAAATACAGAATGTAAATATATTAAATATGCTTAGGCCCCCTTCTGCAAATAATTGTGTGTGCTTTATATGCCATAAGTAATCAAATGCCATTCACCTGCCACAACAAGTGGGAGAACTTGATAGAGCTGGTGGGCAAAGGGACAGTTACAGCAGTGATGGAGAGAGACACTTGCTGAAGGACACCAAGTACCTCCTCCCACACTTTACTGGAGACTTTGGCACCTGTTGTCCAGATGGAGGGGAGGGGCACTGATTGGCTCACATCCCCTAGCTTCACGGATGGAACCAAAAGAGACTCCAAATGGCCCCTTCCTACCTGTTATATCCCTGGAGCTAGGGGATGTGAGCAATCAGTGCCCCCTCCCCTCCAACTGGGCAACTAAGAAGGAGGAATCCAGCCTGGCAAATTTCACTGATTCCCTATTTGAGGTCAGGAAGGATTTTGTCTCATGAGATTCAATTACCAGAGGCATAGGGAGCTTTTTTACCTTCCTTGTAACCTTGTGGCACCTACGGATGGAGGTTCCCACCCTTCGGCATTCTCTGTCCCTTTAGTGAAGGGGTGGGATTGGTAGGATTCTGAGCAAGATAAGAATCTGAGGGGAGGGAGAGGAAGGCAGAGGAAAGTTTACCTCCAGTGATGGGTTATTTCGTAGGCACCTGTAATCACCATGTTGAAACCACTTAAAATGCATGGTTTATGAGAATATGGGTGATGAGTGTGTGGCATTCCTCCCATGTTTAAGTTGAATAAAAAGTTTTAGCCTGCCACTTTAAAGTCTTAATTTCACTTCTGTGCCCAGATCAATGGGGAATCTGGTTGACTGATGTTTATAATCACACAACTTTTTTCAAAGCGAATTTTAATTAACTTTTTTTCTAACTAATGCTTAAGCTATTAGTTTTAGAACTGTCTGCATTTAGCACAAAGAAACTTTTATTTTAAGCAGTAATAATAGGGATAACACTATTAACAATAAATAATCGTGACAGAATGCTGGGTCATAACCTTTTAAAACCTCAGTATTGGGGACAGATTATTTCTCTTTTACAAGACTACAATAGCACACTATACATTTTCCATCTTGTAACATGGACCTTGAATTTCTATTGAAACCACCCAAAAACAAAAGGTCACAATTTCAAGAGAGTCCATTTAAATGCCAGCATGCTACTTCATTCTGTAAAACAGAAAAAAGTCAACTTCCCTGAAGGCACACATTAAAATGGCTTAATTATACAGAGTAGAAAGAAACTTATTGTAGGACAGAAAAGAGTGAAATATTTTTCTCTCACAAAATGAATTTTTCTATAGAAAACTTAGAGCATGTTTATGAACTCTAGATAAAGATTACTTCTTAAAATGTTATGATAAAGTTAAAAATAAAAATTCCATTAAAACTGTTGGGTTTTTTTAAAAGCTTATTTACCTGTTGTTCTAGCAGAAAAGTCATAACTATGAGTCACAGAATTGGTACTTGCTTCATTTTTAAGTGGATTTGATGTGAGTGGCTGTCTGGTTCTTTTTTTCTGATTGAACAGTGGTACAGGTAGACAACCTAAATATAAATTAAAATAACTGTATTGTATATCATTGGAAAGCCATCAAATCTTTCTGGCTAAGGGATAAACAATCTACATTTTGCATTTGGAAAATGGGTAAATTATAATTATTTAATTAACATTTCCATCCATGATTATTATCTTTATTGTTTACTAGAGGGCTAAGCCATGTGCTGTCTATGCTTGCCAACTCTCGTTTCTGGCTGTTTTCGTGGCCAGAGAGCATGAGTGTGATGACATCATTCTATCAGCCGGCAGGAAAAGCTTTTTTATATAGAAAGATTTTATATCACCTAAAAGTGTAATATATCACACAGAAGATAAAGCCCTTACCCTGAAACGTTTACAATGTAAAATCTCTGGGCTGCAAACACTTGCACATGTGCTAAGCTCCTTACTCTGTGGAGGTTCCACTGCATGCAACATTACCACTATGATCTCAACGTTTCAATAACATACACATTTAAGTGGAGCTCGGTTTGAACATTAGGGTCTGGCTTAGCAGGAAATATTTGCAGAAATTGGGTAAATACATTGATAAAACGATTTTCAAATTGTACAGTAATAAAAAGTTATTGATACCTGCTGTGCTACGAGTTGAACTGTCACTTAAATTTCTCTTCATTTCTTTCACAATATCCAAATATGTGATAATTTATTCACTATTCCAAATTCACCATATGAAAGTTATATTTCAATTAAATCTACCGGTAGGGAAAAAACCTCTAATTCACATTTTAAATATAGCTAAAGTACATGCAGCTTTTCATTAACTTCACTTCATTATTTGTGTAACAGTTGTGTGTACCAATTTAGGCATGTTCTTAACTTTATTTTGTGAATAGTCTCAGGATATATCTACACTGCAGTGTTATTTCAGAATAACTGATGGTATTCCAAAATACTACAAGTATTCCAAAATACTGTTGAGCTGGAGGACTTCTTACTCTGACTCCTGTAACCCTCATTTTACGAGGAGTAAGGTAAGTCAGATGAAGAGTGCGCTTTCTTGGACTTCCTGCTGTGTAGACAGCTTATTTCAGCTTTTGGTGCTATTTCAACTTAAGCTGTGCATTTGATGTAGCTCACGTTGCGTAGTTTATTTCAGTTTTAGCTCTGCTGTGTAGATGTACCCTCACTGACTTCCTGTGAGTACCATGAATGTGCATAAAATTACATCACATGAGTGTGACTTTCTAGGATCAGGCCCCCATTTTTTAAGTAAAAGGATATATTTGCATAATTACATTTATATCTGTCCTAGTTTATTTTTAATAAACTTAAACCTAAAAATCCTTTGAACTGAAAACAAATCATTAAAACTTTCAATTCAAAGGGTAATTTTATCTAAATCCCTGAGAATAGGAAATTAAAAAGAAAGTGATGACTTAACCATAACTTTGTTATAAGTGTGGCGCTATAATAAATCCTAAAAAGTTAATTATAAAAATGGAATGCCTTATGATTATGCATAAGAACTAAAGTTAACCATTTCATGAAAAATAGTGTCACTGTATAGGATATGAAAATAATGAAAGAGATAAATTTGCTTAGGCCCAAAACCTGTAAAAACTTCCCTTTTGCAGGAGACATTAGATGTGGCCAGAATCCATCAGTGAATAATTATAAACTGGAGATTCTGTAGGTAGAATTAACAAAAGTTAGCTTTTAAAATACATTCACATTTGACATACATGAATTTTTGTTTGCCACGTTTCCTTTCTGATTAATCCATTACATTATTATAAGCAGAAACAGTGAGTTCATTTCACTTTAAATGTTTAAATGGCTTTCATCTCATTGACCTCATGTCACGTATTTATTCACATAAAATCACTATTAGGCTATATCTACACTGCCACGCTATTTGATGTCTTTTGAGTACGCCCATTATTTTGAAATATAACGGGCTCGCTATTCCAATATCCCTGTAAACCTCATTCCATGAGAAGTAAGGGATATTTTGGAAGAGATTTATTTCAAAATGAGTGCTGTGTAGACCAGGGACATAGTGGGGAGGAGGAGGAGAGCGAGGAGGGCAGTTACCCCCAGGCACCATACTAAGGCTAGAGCAGGGAAAAAGGTGCGGGCAGGTCTATGACAGCCTGGCCCCACCGCAGCAGCCATGGCCACATCAGACACACCCGTGATGTTCTCCCTATGCTTGCCTTAGCACTCAGGGACACCTGCCCCCCCCCTCCCTCACTACGCCCCTGGTGTAGACATAAGCTATTTTGAAATAACATAGAAATAACATACACAAGTTGTGTAGCTCAAATTGAGTATCTTATTTTGACCTATGGTGCAGTGAAGAATCAGAGCGATTAAATTTTGTGCATTTCTAGATGTGGTATTTACATGAGTTTTGTGAAACTTTTGTAAAGTGATACGTAATTGTGGTATTAGAGCAGTGATGCCAACTTTTTTCAATTTATTATGAGTCTTGAGATACTGGGTGTTTTTATGATGCCTCACCTGCTGAAATCAAAAGAATACATGATAATCATAGCATTCATTAGATAGATAGATAGCTTGATCGCTAAATAGATAGATTTTAACCCCGGCTGCAGAGAAAAGTTTGAAAACATGAAACAAGTAATGTATTGGAAAGGGTACAGAGAAGAGCGACAAGAATGATTAAAGGTTTAGAGAACATGACCTATGAAGCCAGGCTTCATGAACTGGGCTTGTTTAGTTTGGAAAAAAGAAGATTAAGGGGGGACATGATAGCGGCTTTCAAATATCTAAAAGGGTGTCACAAGGAGGAAGGAGAAAAGTTGTTCCTCTTGGTTTCTGAGGACAGAACAAGGAGTAATGGGCTTAAAGTGCAGCAGGGGAGGTTTAGATTGGACATTAGGAAAAAATTCCTAACTGTCAGGGTGGTCAAATATTGGAATAAATTGCCAAGGGAGGTGGTGGAATCTCTCTCTCTAGAGATATTTAAGAACAGGTTAGATAGACATCTGTCAGGGATGGTGTAGATGGAGCTTGGTCCTGCCTTGAGGGCGGGGGGCTGGACTTGATGACCTCTTGAGGTCCCTTCCAGTCCTATGATTCTATGATTCTATGATACCTTAAAGCCTCAGAAATGTAAAGAAAATAAAAAGAACTCCCAATGTATTGGTTTTAATCTTGTGATTCTTAACTAATCTTTTCATGGGGAGAGGGGAGGAGGTTGACATTTATTTTAAATGTTTGACTTTCTGGTTGCCATTTCTGAGGAACAAAAACCCAAAACACCTGAAAAAATAGGACTTCCTAAAACTGGACAACCCACCAAACTGGATAGCTGGCAGCATTTACTGAGCCCATAAATCTGGACAACTGGCAGTGTTTACTAAGTACCCTCAGAGATTATCCAGGACAGCTATCTCAAAAAAGTGATGATACAGGGAAAATCGGAACAGATAGCAGAATTGGAATTGGCCGTATTGTATAAGACTGATCTTGCAAAATATTATCATCTGTTTGCAGAATGAAGCTCTAAATGATTTACTAAAATTAACAATAAAAATAAAAAGTCACAAACATAAATTAGTTGCCCCTATTCTTAGCATGTAAATACTTATGTACATGTTTATCTATCTCTGCCTTTCATGTTTGTAGGATCAGAGCCCAAATACCTAATACAAAAGATAGACTCTCTAGCTCAGGGTTTCCCAACCTATTGGTCGGGACCCAAATATGGGTGCCATTACATTTCAAAAGGGTCACCAGGTGTCTCCCGGGATGGCTCTTAAAAAGCCATTTTCACATATTTTGAATTGCCCTGGGTCACCAAGTCTTCCTGAATTGTCAAAATGGGTCCCCATCTGGAAAAGGTTGAAAACTGCTGCTGAGTCTAGCTGATTTATGCCATGGACATCAGGGATAAATGTGCATGCATACATTAGGGCAGAATGTGGCCCTGAGGTTTGTAAGCATTCATATGTCAAACACTTTTTGGTGGTACCCCAACTCATCAATGAAAATGAATGTGTGAGATTTGCAAAACGAAACAAAATAAAACGCACAGGCAATCCTCCAACTAAATGTTATGCCTTGAAGAGCTTGTTGTGCGGAGTGTGATTTTTTTTACAATGACTTTTGCTTTTTGACGTTGATGTTAAAACGTGTCCACTGCTGAGGACGGAGGGCCAAGCCAGGGACAGGACAAGGGGCTGAGGGGAAACGCAAGAAAACTCAAGCGCCCGGGGGGTCAAACTCTGCCTGGAGCTGAGGGAAGGCGGATTGAGCCCGCCAAAAATCAACGGCTGGAAAAAACCGTTACTCCAGCGCGGGAGGGGCGGAGGCGGGAAAGCGCCGACTAGCGCGCGGTTCCATAGTTCTCGCGCCTTCTCTCAACAGATAAGGGAGCCTCCCTGAACGTGTGCGCGCGGAGGCTGTGTGTGTGTGTGGGGGGGAGCATAAACAAGGAGATTGCACGAAACGAATAAACTCTTGTGTTTTATTGCCTCTCTGCTTGCACAGGACAGTGCCCAGGGGGCGCCAGAACTCAGCCAGAAACCTGCACTCAATCCTCCTGAACACTAATTACCTACACGCATCCCCGTTCCTCCGCCTGTGGCAGGCTTTCCCCTCCGCTCTTAGCTCTGTGCTGGGGTTCGCCTGAGCTTCTTTTCGCTCATCCTCTGGGTGGCTTTTTCCTTCAGTTCTGGGCGAGCTTTTGCCTCTGCAAGGAAAAAAAATTATGAAAATACAACGCCTGGGAATCTCACAATGAAAACAAGCACTCCCAGCTAAAAGAATGGAGATCTGTTTGGTTTTTAGACTCACCCCTACCCTAAGCTCTGGTGCCTTTACAAGATACACAAATGGTATTTCATAAAAAAAAACTTTAAAATTAATAGTATGCTTAACAGGGCTATCAAGTGAGTATAATAAATAAAGGCTTCATTTCTTTGGGGTGAAAAGCTCCAGTTGTCAGGATAGAATAAAACCTACCTAGTCTTTGCAGTTACAAAATGCAGGACAATGTAGCACTTTAAAGACTAACAAGATGGTTTATTAGATGATGAGCTTTCGTGGGCCAGACCCACTTCCTCAGATCAAATAGTGGAAGAAAGTAGTCACAACCATATATACCAAAGGATACAATTAAAAAAAATGAACAAATATGAAAAGGACAAATCACATTGCAGAACAGAAGGAGGATGCGGGGGGGTGGGAAGGGGGAGGAAGGAAGGTAAGTGTCTGTGAATTGCTGATATTAAAGGTAGGGAGAGTGGGATGTTTGTGAGTTAATGGTATTACAGGTGATAATTGGGGAAACTGTCTTGATAATGGGTGAGAAAGTTCAAAGACTTGTTAAGTCCCTGGTGGTAAGTGTCGAATTTTAACATGAATGACAGTTCAGAGGATTCCCTTTCAAGTGCAGATGTAAAAGGTCTTTGTAGCAGAATGCAGGTGGCTAAGTCATTTAGAGAGTGTCCTTTCTGGTTAAAGTGGCAAGAAACTGTTTTCTCTTTGTGATCTTGTCTGATATCTGTTTTGTGGGCATTAATCCTTTGGCGAAGTGTCTGAGATGTTTGTCCAATGTACATAGCAGACGGACACTTTCGGCACATGATAGCATAGATTATATTTCTGGATGCGCAGGAATATGTGTTCTTGATCTTATAACTCACTTGGTTAGGTCCAATAATGGTATCAGCAGAATGAATATGTGGACAAAGCTGGCAACGGGGTTTGTTGCAAGGGAAGGTACCAGGGTTGGTATTAGTGTGGTATGTCCTGTGGTGGTTGGTAAGAATCATCTTGAGGTTAGGTGGTTGTCTATAGGAGACTATGGGTCTGTCTCCCAGAGCCTCTTTGAGTATGGTATCCTGTTCCAATATAGGCTGTTTAGTCATCTTCTTCATTGTAATCAATTGATGTCAGTGTAGACGTTCAATTCAGCAGACTACTGCAGTAGTTACTTGTTCACACATGGGATATACTAGCTAAAAAACTGGAGGTTGTCCCTTCCTCCTGGTCTGAATCGAGTTGTGTGCACTCTCCTACCCTAGGGAAGGAGCCCTTATTGTTTTAGTGCATCACCACTGGCTTCTTGTTTTTAAAGTAGTGCTGCAAGGGTCACTCTTAGCATTATGATGCTATAAGCAAGTTGGCAAATATCATTCCATCCAGACTGCACTGACCTATACAGTTAGGGTGGATCTCCACTGCACCCGTAGGTTGAAATAAGATACACAATTTGAGCTACGCAAATTTCATATCTTATTTTGATATAATTTCAGAATAAAGCGCTTTCTGACAAGTCCCTTAACCCTTGTGGAACGAGGGTTACAGGGACGCTGGAATAGCGTGCCCATTATTTCGAAATCTATTTTGAAATAACGGGTGTGTTTAAAGACGTGGAATAGCTATTTCAGGATACTTCCGGTATCCCAAAATAGCGCTGCTGTCTAGACGTAGCGTTACAATGAACATTTTACTGGCCCTAGCATTTTGCTTTCAGGGATAACTATTTATTAGGAGGGATGGAGGCAGCCAAGTTCAGCTCTCCCCAATCTTTAGGACAGCCAGTCACTCTAATAGAGAGCACTGAGGGGAAGAATGCACAGAGGAACCTCTATAAAATGATTTAGCCTAAACAGTTTCTATTATCATTAGTAATAATTGTACAAGTCTTCTCAACCCTGCTCTAAAGGCTTTTAGTATTGTGACTCACTCGCTCTCTCTCTCTCTCTCTCTCTCTCTCTCACACACACACAGAGCAATAGTTATGGAATGTAAAACCAAAACATTTCTAAAATTATATTAAAGAAACCAAAATATGTTCCCGATTAATTTTCCAGGGATACAAAATATAGATGTTGGCACATATTTCAGTAATAAGGCATTATATTGTTGTCAGCATCTTAACTCAGAAGAATGAAAACTCTTTGAATGTTTCTTTTTTCATTTATTGCCATAAAGCCACTAGAGTTAGTACTGGGAAACCAGGAGTTAAAGATTCTTTGGAAGTTAATTTGCTTTAAGGGAATAAAAGAAGCTTCCGTGGCTTTAGTCCTAAACTCATGTTTGGAAATGCATTGTTTCTTTTCTATTAAAGTTCTTCTTAGGAGACAAACTTCTTGCATGTTAAATAAGGTAAGTGTATAAACAAATACCGTGGTTCACTCAGCTTCTTGTAAGGAATTATAAACATTATCACACATTCAACAATAAAATATAAACTGTATTTACTAGCATTGTGTAATTACATTTTACAATTTACTTTCGAAAGGGTTTTAGTGTTTAAATTCTATAAACGAGATTCAAAATGTGAATCAGTTGTTCAGTCACTTTGCTTTGTATCCATGACCAAAAGCAATGGGGTCAAAAGTTGGTACAAAACAGTCTTTTGGTGTAAAATATAACTACCCTGGGTTATTTAATCAATTATTTACTACACTTATTTTCTTTTATGTGACAAGTTACTAAAGTGAAGAAATAATACCATTGGGTGGCTGAATAAACATAGTCTCTCCAGATTAGTTCACTACAAGACTCGGTAAATCAGCATGAATAGGCTGAAATTTAAAGTGTAAGTTTTATTATGTGAATTCAGTGCCAGACGATTTGGTTAAGATGTCTGAATCCTGTGTTCGGCTTTCTCATCTTATACCTTTAACATATCAAATCTTGCTTCTAAAACCTTTTTCATATAGTAGTGACATATTTTTCTGTATGATTGAAATATAAATTTTATACAAATCCTAACATAAAGTAAATTTTGACAAAAAATTATATTTTATGCCTTTGAAATGTAGATTTACTTGTATCTCTGTGGTGCACTGTGAGTCATTACAGAGTTGTAAATACAATTAGTACAGATTACTGTTGCCTATAAAAAAAGCTGGCTTTTCTTGTTGGAACTTTTATTCTCCAGGGTGTGCATCTTGTCTGTCCGTTTGTGAGTCTGTTTGTTCAAGAACTCCTCCTACATGATAAGAAGTAGGACCACCAAATTTGGTATGCAACTTCCTCTTATCTTAACTTAAAGCAAGGTCAGGGTTGGTTGTGCAAGGAAAATGGCAAGTCTCTGAAATGAGTCTGTTTTTCATAACATAGAAAGGGAGGAGGTTGAGAGGAGGGATGCGATACTGAGAGTGACCATGGGAGACAGCAAGTGCAAGGCTTAGCTATACTGTAGTCACCATTCAATGGAGCCACACCACCAAGAGAGTGGCCATCTGGGGCTGGGACTATCTTGCCTGCCACCAGACCAAGTAAATAGCCCCTGTGCCCCAAACCCTTCTCTCCCGACCTTTGGCTGCAGCGCTGGAGGGGGAGAGGGAGAAAGCCCTGCTGTAAGTGGGGGAAGGCCCCTGGTAACCAATGAAGCTTAAGGAGAGAAAAAAACCCTGCCGGCCAGGAGCACTGGGGGGGAAGGGGAGTGAAAAGGACCCTAATGGCTGAGGCACTGGGGGAGTAGAGAAATTCCCTACCAGCTGGGGGTAGGGTCGGAGAGACAGTCCCACTGGATGGGAGCCCCCTTCCTGAGCCCCTCCTCACCCTCCAATCCTCACTTTTGCATCCCCTCACATCCCCAGCCTCCTGGCCTAAGTCCCTTCTCAGCCCCCACTGATTCCTGCACCAATCACACTCCCAGCTTCCTGCTCTGTCCCCCATCTTCAAGGCCCTGCCCTAAATCCTGCACCCCCTCTCCTCCCCGCCAAACTATCTGCCCTCTGAGCTGAAGGACCCGGGTAATGGAGGTAGGTCTTCTAGTATTATTATGTGATAAAAGCCCTTAGGAAAGGATGAGTGAAATTTTTACACATAGGTTAGCCTAGACTTTAGAATACCCCATATAATGGATTGGGATTGCAGATATAATTCTGCTCATGAAATATTGCCAGGATGCCATTGAACATATGTGACAGCTGCATAGTTTAATTTGCTTTTGAGAATATCCTTTGTATATAATAGGTATGGCATATGTATTGGAATCATGGGAAAATTCTGAATTTGGAAAAGAACAAGTTCTTGATCTCTGAAGATATTGAGAGGCACTTCCACAGAGGTCCATGCTAGCAGACCCTATTGCAACACTGAGATCAAGAATATTACATTCAGTTGTGAATATTAAATTTTATTTTTAATTAAGTCCCCTGTAGTCACTGTTCACTAATTATGATAAAACTGTCATACACACACACCTACAAACTCACATGAACAATAAATATATTAAAAAAAATCCATCTGTACTCGCATACAGACTTCTTTGGTAGTCAGTAATGAGCTTTCAGCATTTTGTCTCTTACAGTACCTAAGATGTGAAATCATAACTTCATATTTTGTTGTGTATTTTTGCTCACTATAAGCCATTTTTATTGCATATTGTGCTGCCTAAATGATATAAAACACATGTAAAATAATAATTTGATCTATCAAATTTGAAGTGCTAGCATTCTGTGGATTTTCAGTGTAGAATGTGAACATTACTTTAAAGTACAATTTAAAAATGATACTGTTTTTCATTAGCATAGTTTTTGATTACACACATTACAGACTGAGTACAGGAGTTAGTTATTGAGCTATGTGACTGTATCTTTAGCTGATTTATACATATTATTATCCAAATATGGTAAAAAAAGGGCAGGTCTTGGAAGGGAGGAGTGTCAGTTTACCAACACCGGTGTATTGCAACAGACAACTCTTTAAACTTGTTAGGAGAAATGTTAATACGCTTCAGATAAAATCTAGTCTAGACAGATTTTAAAAAATTAAACATTTTCTGTCCTTTCTTAGGAACAAATGTTTTACTTTGCTATTTTCTGTTTTGATTGCAGCAAACATTAAAGCAGCTTATTAGAATGACTTCCTGTTTTGTCATTCATGAGGCTCCTGTACGAAGAGTAGCTATCTTTGGAGGGACTCATGGCAATGAATTATCAGGGGTATTTTTGGTCAAGCATTGGCAGGAGAATGGAGCTGAGATTCAAAGAACAGGGCTGGAAGTGAGACCATTTATTACCAATCCAAGAGCTGTGAAGAAATGTACTAGATATATTGACTGTGACCTGAACCGTGTTTTTGACACTGCTAATCTTGGGTAAGAATAACTGTGTGCTTGTGTATTTTCAGTTTTCTACCTTAAATGTTATCAGGAGCTTCTTTTATTATTTTTTTTGGTAATTTTTTTGAATAAACACCACAATCACATGATTCAGTGACCCTTAACCTAGAAAGACCAAAGAGATTGTACTTAGTTGATTCATTGTTTATATAGTGCTAGTGCAACAAGAGACAGGTTGCCACAGGAAGTTATACTATATTTAAAATCAATATAGAATTTGCTGTATTCTTGTGGAGCTAAACTAATGCTATTACTCTGAGTGTGTCATTTCTCACATGTCCTGAAATAAACACCGTGAGCAATTTAATTTTGAGACTTTTGCTAATGCCACTTTACTAGCAGCCACATAATCAGTTGTTAAAACACAGAGCTTAAATATTGATAAACATGATGTTAAGTGTCTCTGAGAATGAACACAAATGTTCTATAAATTGTGAAAGTATTTTAAATTTCAGTCACATAAAGTGTAGACTGAAATGTGAAAATAGTCAAGTTTGAAATGTGAATAGTATGGCAAAATTATACAGCCAAAATTGTCAGTAAAGTGATTACACTGTGATTATTTCTTGATTGAAAGAATCTAAAACAAAGTGCAACTATTCAGATTTAAGAAGCTATTTTACAATGATAAATGACATTTTAAGTGAAACTTTATGTAAGCTCTATGTTTGAGATGTTAACTGCTTAAGTGGACTTTGGTAGGTGAACCAAGCATTTTTAGCTATGATATATCTTTGATAATTATACAACACAAAGGTCCTAATGAGAAAGGTGGATAAGAGCAAAGACTATTTGAATTATACATATTGTGTAAAAGTAATTGTCTTTACAATGCATCTATTCATTTTCATTTGGCATTTTATCTAAGAGAGAATTGTTTTATTGGTAGTGTCACTTATAAGATAAATATGACTTTGCAAGAGACTGAGGTCTGCATCAACTTTTTAACTGTTTATGCATAGATATTTTAAGCATTTAGAATAACTTCTTTGTCTTTCTGTTTATTATTTCACCTGCTTTGAAATTGAAATGGTTTCTTAAATGCACTCTCTGGTTATCTAATTTAAAGTATTTCTTCTGAACTACTTTTTGAACAAGTTTTATTAATATTTTTTCAGTAAAACCCGTCAGATAATCCAACCCTTGAGTATTAGAAAGTACCATTAGAAGATTATTATCATTCCCCCTAGTCTCACCCCCAAAGTGGGAGACATACTATTACCTATAGCTTTACAAAAATAAGTATGAAATCCCAGCCCCATTGAAGGCAATGGTATAGTTCTCAATGACTACAATAGGACATGATTTTACCCAGAGTACTTAGATCATTCCCTTATTCCACGAAGTTCTCCATTTCAATTACAGTAATGCACAAAGGAAGTCTATAATTTTATATGACATCATATCAGATGCCATTTTACAATTAAATTAATAAAGTTCAGTACATTCAACTGTAAAATCTCACAACCATAAACTATATTAAAAATAACAGTTTGATTTAGTTTTAAAGACATTGAGATGGAACGTACTAATATATTGAGGAAAAGGATTCCAGATGGAATTCATAAGTATCATTTACTTTATGGAGCAAGAGCACTTAAATCAAATATTTTAGAATCTCTTCAGAATATGACAAGAAGTAGATCAAAAAGGAAACAAGCAATGAAAGACATTATAGATGAGGACCAAGGTTTAAGGACATGAACTAACTGAAAGACTTCTGTGTTCAGCAAATGTTGGATTGGGCCCTAGCAATGACTTTACACGGGGAATAAATCTTGTGCTGCCTTTATGTACAGAGGGAGAACTTTAGTTTCAGCCCTTGTGAACTGAAAGTAAATGCAAAGAAGTACAGCAAAAATAATGTAAAACACAATTTTAGATTAGGTGAGAAGTCTTGCAAAATACTGAATGAGACAGCAAGAAAACATATTGTCTACTAGCATGAATACTTGCTGAGTTCTATCACAACCTCTTACAGGTCAAACAGTTTAATAAGGTAGTTGTATATGATGTATCAATTCTAGTTAATTATGGAAAAATCAAATGAAAAGGTACTCTCATTTTTTACAGCAAAGCGATAGAATTAATTAATTAATTTCTTTGTGATAATATTAACAGTAGGCAAACGACAGAAGATATTCCATATGAAGTGAGAAGAGCTCAGGAAATCAATCATGTATTTGGTCCAAAAGATAGTGATGATGCCTATGACCTTATTTTTGACCTTCACAACACAACTTCTAACATGGGTGGCACTCTTATTCTTGAAAACTCCAGGAATAACTTTACAATCCAGATGTTTCATTATATTAAGGTAAAATTAATTTTAATAAACTATGAGAATAAATTCAGATTTGTATTTGAAACATATTACTGTTTATCAGCTTTGTGCCTTTATTTAAATACATGTATGCTGTTTTGTTTAATTTTCTAAAATGTTTGGTAAAGATATTAAAATTAATTACAAAATGGTATTTTTATTATCACAAATAATTATGAAATTCAGTTTAATACTGGTTAGTACAGATTACAACCTTTCATATAGACAGCACTAGTAAATAAAATTAATCTGTTATTAAGACAAATGTGGGGCCAGTAGCAAAAAATAAGAAAGAAAACAAAATTAGTAAAACCTTAAAGATCATTGCATTTACTTTTAATCTAGTATGCTATAAAGCAAGAAAAAAATAGCGTCTGCATGCAAAATATTGTAAGACACGAGTTATTTACAATGCAGTCTAGAAAAATGAATGAAATAAGATTATGACAAAGGAGGCCCTGATATACATTCGCCACAGTTTTAATGAGTGTTGAAAATGTTTAATTTTGTTGGTATTTTGTGTGGGGTTTTCATGAGTGACCCATGTTGGCCTGTTATCTCAAGAAGTTAATGGTGATCATCCTATTGTATTTAATGGGACAAAAATAAGGTTAATATGGTACATTTTGAAAATCTCCCTCCCTTAATTCATATACTTCAAGATAAGATATTCCATATACTTTGACATATGATATTTAATCTTTCACGTGTCCCATCCATTTGAGATGCACAGTGCTTCTGAGAAAACCAGTCAGGTGGGCGGCCAGGTTCAGCAAGGGCTTGATAACTCTGCTGACAGATACCCAGTTCTGGTCCCCGCACGTGTCCCCCCACAAAGATGTGGTCAGTTTATGAGTAAGAGTATATAAAGATTATCATATAGCTAATCAAAATATAGAAATGAGAGGCAGTAATCTAGAAAGGAATGGCTAGAAAAGCGTTCTGCCAAGACATATAAAAAAACTGGGTTAACTCACTGCATGTGTCTCATAAGAGACTCTAACCCTAGCAAGAAGAAAAATATTTGAAATCTCTCCTAAAGCAATTTGATTCTCGGTAAATTAAGACTGGAACTGTGTTCATGTATATTATTGTTCAGCTAAGTTCAGTGGAGCATGCCTGACATGAGCTAAGGGAAAGCAGACCAACAAATACAGCTTTGTATGTTTTCTAAAGATGTCCTACTTATTTTAGGGCCAGGAAATAAAAGCAACATATTAAAGATTTTGTGTAAATCACTTCCGCATCAGTAGTCTTTTGTAGCACATTTTTAAAGTATTTGCATAACAAAGACTTTTTTTTTTTACTAATCTTCACAGAATGCTTTGGCCCCAGAATGCTGTCCTGTTTTCCTGATTGAACATCCTAACTTGAAATATGCAACAACTCGATCTATAGCAAAACACCCTGTTGGTAAATATGAATATTGAGAATACTTTCCAGTCTCCAGACATTATTAAAATAGATGCTTATCTCCAGACATTTTTGTTTCTAAGGTGTTTCTTTAAGATAAACAAATTCCTCACAATTCTAAGGAAGAGTAGAAGGGAAAACAGCAAAATAGGGACAATGGATTTCAGGAAGGCAGATTTTGGTAAGCTCAGAAAGCTGATAGGTAAGGTCCCATGGGAATCCAGACTGAGGGGAAAAACAACTGAGGAGAGTTGGCAGTTTTTCAAAGGGACATTATTAAGGGCCCAAAAGTAAGCTATTCTGCTGTGTCGGAAAGATAGAAAATATGGCAAAAGACCGCCTTGGCTTAACCACGAGATCTTGCATGATCTAAAAATAAAAAAGGAGTCATATAAAAAATGGAAAGTAGGACAAATTACAAAGGATGAATATAGGCAAACAGCACAGGAATGCAGGGGCAAGATTAGAAAGGCTTAATGACTTCTTTGTTTCGGTCTTCACTGAGAAGTCTGAAGGAATGCCTAACATAGTGAATGCTAGTGGGAAGGGGGTAGGTTTAGAAGATAAAATAAAAAAAAGAACAAGTTAAAAATCACCTAGAAAAGTTAGATGCCTGCAAGTCACCAAGGCACGATGAAATGCATCCTAGAATACTCAAGGAGCTGATAGAGGAGGTATCTGAGCCTCTAGCTATCATCTTTGGAAAATGATGGGAGACATGAGAGATTCCAGAAAACTGGAAAAGGGCAAATATAGTGCCCATTTATGAAAAAGGGAAATAAGAACAACCCAGGAAACTACAGACCAGTTAGTTTAACTTCTGTGCCAGGGAAGATAATGGAGCAAGTAATTAAGGAAATCATCTGTAAACACTTGAAAGGTGGCAAGGTGACAGGGAACAACCAGCATGCATTTGTAAAGAATAAATCATGTCAAACCAATCTGATAGCTTTCTTTGGTAGGATAACGAGTCTTGTGGATAAGAGAGAAGTGGTGGATGTGGTATACCTAGACTTTAGTAAGGCATTTGATACAGTCTCGCATGATATTCTTATCAATAAACTAGGCAAATACAACTTAGATGGGGCTACTGTAAGGTGAGTGCATAACTGGCTGGATAACTGTACTCAGAGAGTAGTTATTAATGGTTCACAATCCTGCTGGAAAGGCATAACAAGTGGGGTTCCGCAGGGGTCTGTTTTGGGACC